CCGCCCCGACGCGGGCCCGAATTCCGACTTCCACACCTCCAGCGACAGAGTTTCGTAGAACACCACGTCCGACGTGGTGACCACCCGGTTGTCGGCGAGGTCGAGGAGCTCCCAGCCTTTGCTCTCCTCCGACACGCCGAGGTGAAGGCCCCACCGGGCCTTCGGCTTCAGCTTCCCACCGCGCTGCTGCTCAGGGACGAGAAATTGTGCCATGCAGCCCCACACCCGCGCTAGTGACAGGTCGGCCTTCTGCCCGGTGAGAAGCTGGTACGGCGTCGTCCCCGCGGGCAGCGTCGACCGCTACAGGCACCAGACGGCCTGCCGCAGAGCGAGATGCCACCAGTGGTGCTGCACGCCCATGTGCAGCAGCATCGTCCGCACCGACTCCACCACCGTCCTCATCTCCCGCTCCGCCATGCCATTCTGCTGCGGGGTGTAAGGGCAGGTTAAGTCGTGAACGATTCCCTTGCTGTCCACGAAGGCGGTGAAGTCCTTTCCGAGGAACTCCCCTCCGCGGTCAGAGCGCAGTTGCAGCACCGAATGCTTCGCCTGCCGCTCCACCAGCACCAACCACTTCTGAAACTGCAGCAGCACGTCCGACTTCTTGGCGACCGGCCGCACCCACACGTAGCGGGTCTTGCGGTCCTTCAGCAGCAAGAAGTACAGGCTGCCGTCCTTGGCAGCCACGCGGAATGGCCTGCACAAGTCAATGTGCACGACGGCCAGGACATCGTCGGCTTCGGAGCCGTGGTCGGGGAAGGTGTGCCGCGCCAGCTTCCCGCCGACGCACGAAACACACGGGGAGTCGGCGCCAGACGCCGACGTGAGGTCCAGCCCAGTGGCGACCTCGTGCTTCGCCGAGCTCCGTATCGTGTCCATGCCAACATGCGCAAGCCTCGCGTGCAGCCTGTTCGGGGTTGCCTTCGTCGCCGAGACGATCGCCCGCAGAGCTACCTCCTCTTTCACGGGCGTCGACGCCGTTACCGCGCATGGGCGTAGGTCAGTGCAGAGGACCCGGCCGGTGTAGGTCGCTCGACCGAGCACGTCCCCCGCCGCGGAGACGAGCAACATCCGATGTCCGTCGTCCTTCAGCGTCACCCCGCTCTCCTTCAGCTGGCCAGCCGAAAGCAGATTCGCCTGCACGCCCGGGACGTAGAGAACGTCGGAGATGAGCACTCGCTTCCCGGCCTCCCCTTGCAGCGCAACCGTGCCACGACCGCGGACGTCCTGCAGCGCCCCATTGAAGCCACGCACATGTTTCACGTCGCCGCTCGGCCCCAATTCGACGAAGGCCGCCTTCGTCCCCATCAGGTGGTGCGAGCAGCCGCTGTCGAGCAGGACCACCGCGGGGTTCGCCTGCACAGCTGCCGCCACCGCCTGGAAATCTTCGCCAGCTTCCGGCGCCAGCGAGACAGTCGGCTCCACGATACCGACCAGCGAGCACGACGCCTCCTTACCGTCTCGCCCTTTGCCACCCGCGGAAGAGTCGGCGTCCTTCGCCAAGGTCGATTTCGTCGACTGCTTTTCTTTTCGCGGTTGGTTTCCTCGACGCGGACGACGGCTGCCAAAACTTCCGCGGCCTCCCTTCGCGTCGTCGTCGTCGGAATCGCTGCGATCGGGGCACTCGAAGGAGAGGTGGTCGGGATCGCCGCACAGCCAGCATTCCCGACGCCGACCTCCTCCTCCACGACCGCCATCCTTGGACCATTTCTGCTTGTCAGCGTTCTTCGCCGGCTTCCCGCCACCGCGGTGACTGCCACCAGACTGCCCGCGCTGTCCCGGGCGACCACCTTGCTTCGCGGGGGCCGCGAAATGGACTTGCGCGAGGAGCTCTTGGGACCGCTCAGCCTCCTGCATCGCCTCGTCCTGCAGGATGTACGAGGTCAGTGTGTCCTCGTTGAGCGTCGCCCGCGTGCTCGGCGCCATCGACAGCCGCTTCAGCAGATTGTAGCTGCTCGGGAGTCCTTGCATGACGTGCGTGACGTACGAAGCCGTCGAGTATTCCGCGCCAGCCATCCGAATGGTGGCGAGAATTCGCCGAGCTCGATTGCAGTAGTCAGTCGCGGTCTCCTCGTCGCCCATACGCAGGTGCGTCAGCTGCCCCTCAAGCTGGGAGATGAACAAGTCGTCGGTGACCTGGTAAGTTGACTCGATGAAATGCCACGCCCGGTGGCCAGCGTCGAGGTACTCCCTGCACGACTTCAGGGCGATCTGTACGCCCAGCGAGCAGCACCGCGAAATGACCGTAAAGGTCAGCAGCTGCACGGCGCGAAATTCCGCTCGCAGGTCGGGGTAGTGCTCCTCCGGCGTCGCCACGGTTCCGCAGGCGAAGCCAATCAGCCCGGCCATCTCCAGCTGGGGCTCGATGGCTTCCTTCCACGTGAGGATGTCGGGACGACCGACCAGCAGAGGGGTGACCGAGATCCTGTCCGGCGTAAACTTGAAGTAGCCGTAGCTCGGCGCAATTCCTCCCGTGGTCACGTATGTCGCCGACATCGGCGCCAATTGATTTCGTCTGCCTCCGACGTAATTTCGCGGGGCCCCTGCAGCCGCGGACGACTGCATCCCTCGCGCCTGAACGCCGCCGACTTCATCGGCGCGAAACACACCTCGCTGCCTCGATATGCCTCCCGCGCTGCTACCGACTTGGTCACCCGCGGCGTTGATTCTCGCGTCGACGCCGCCTACGTTGTTCACCGGTCGAGGAGATGCAGGCCGAGAAGGGGGGTGCTCCGCCGCCCACAAGGCGCGGATGCCAGCCTCGACCACTGTCAGCGGGAGAGTTCCGTACTCGTTCGCCGCATGACGTCTCCTCGCGTCCTCCAGCCGTGTTTCCAAGGTGTCCACCACCCCTCCGTCACCTACGGCTCCTACCATAGTGACTACTGCACAGCTGCTGGTCTACGAACAAGCTAGGTGAGTGAGAAGTCAGCTAAACCGAAGGTTTTGTCGCGGTGTCGTCCACGCTCACCGCACCATGCGGAGATAACTAGTGCAACGGGAGCTAGACTGCGGGCTAGGCACGGTGCAAGAGTGATCGTAGCGTTCGTTCGTTCCTTAGTCGTTTCCAAGTGCTATCACTGCTTGCTAGTTCACAAGGAAAATTGGCAAGAGTTTCACTAGGAAAAACATAACAACAAAAGTTCAGAATGATTACATCAACATTGGCAACACTGACTACATCAGACCTAGCAAGGCTGCTGGTCCACTGCCAGCGCGGCACGCTCGACCGCGTGCCAGCACGACTTGGTTGACCGCGCTCCAGCAGAGCAGAGTCGCGGTTTGCCAACGTTGCAAGTCCGCGGTGCGCCAACGCTGCAGTATGTCGGCTGCACAGCGTCGCATCCGCGGGACAACGGTGCACCAGCTTCGCAGGTGCGTGCAGCTGGTTGGCGCCCAACTCCCCGTCACATGCCCAGCGCAGACACTTCACCCGTGACGGCGCCCACCAGCCACGTCGACCTCAGGATACCACCCCCGAGGTCGTCCTCGCAGACAACATCCCCGGCGACTTTCGCGCACGTCGCCCGGGTATCCTGGTTGACCGGGTATTTCGCGGTCCTCCCGCGGTTTCATGGCTCCACGGTCCACTGCGATTTCGTGGCTCCCACGGTCCACCGCGATTTCGTGGCTCCCACGGTCCACCGCGATTTCGTGGCTCCCACAGTCCACTGCGATTTCGTGGCTCCCACGGTCCACCGCGATTTCGTGGCTCCCACGGTCGGCTCCGCCCAAGCGAGGACGGGGCCAAACACAACTCCCGTTGACAGATAAGACCCATATGACTTATATCCGAGCAATGACGGTATCTACCATGATCTTCCGGTTACAAGACCCCCCCGCATAAAAGCCCCGTGCGTCTTCTATCCGGACCAGGGGTCTTTTATTAGGTCAGTCCTGGAGAGGACCCGTCTTTTGACCCAAATCATTGTAAGACCCCCCCTCAGGCTATAATGAGTGTTGTTGTTCATGAGCTGGTTAGCGAGTCACACAATAAACCACCAAATTCACTTTGTCAGGCCAATTTGTGGTCAAGGGAGTCAAGATGCCACATCAATCACGCGTTTTTGCCGCCCTTCAGGCAACAAATGCTGACGTGCCTGTCATTATTAGGCATTTCTGAACGTGCAGAAAGGAAATCAGGGAGACTCGAGTGCGAGAATCTGAGAATGAATTTCCGCGCTGTGAAGGAATCCAAAATTCAGTAAAGAAAATTTTCGAATTTCTTCAACACTGCACTACACAATCCATTTTTTTAGTAATTAGTAGATGTCCAGGGGTCTTATGCAGTTCATGTCGTTACATAAGACCCCACAACCCAGTTCGAGCACATTTAGGAGAAGACCCCCGGGTCTTCTAGGTGGGAGATCACGGTAATCGACTATGAGGTTACTTCAACAAAAATTGCGCACAACAAGCGGCTCTGTTGTACCAGTGTTTGTTCTAATGGGAGAAGTTATGAGAACGACGCTTGCAGTCGCATTGGTCAACCCATTGTTTCCAAATCATGATGAACTGCTGTAAGAACTATTGGGTTCTGAGCCAAAACGCGTATCTTTTATGTATCAAATTTACAAAAATGCATTATATCTTACAAACAATGAAATCCATACCCACTCGAGGACCTAATCATGGCACACAAATGAACTTGTACCCTACACTCCCAACACACTTTTTCTCATTGTACACATAGTATTTTGAAACCGCTCCATTTGCAGCCCCACCATAGAAGCTGTAAGCACCCGAGCACGTCAATGACGGTGACACTGGTTTTTGCCTGCCCTTCTTGCATATGCCAACAACAAATGGCCAATACTCTGCTCTTAGGCAAATCTGAAATGGCGGCATTTTACAAACACAACGAAGGAAAGGAACATGTATTGAGAGAAAGAGATAGGCACACACTCAACAGACAATCAAGGGCAAATAGTTGAAATAAACACTCTCTGGAATATGACAAATGACTCCTTGCCCCCTAACCCATTTAATAAAGGTGTGAGTCACCCACCAATTTTCCCTCCATTTCCTTCCCATCTCTTGCGGCCCCGACCTAGTTCCCCTCCACCCCTTACCTGCACGCCACTGTTGCTGCCAACAGCAGAGGCGGAGACTGGGATGACACTCGAGCAGATGAGGCCGGGATTGTTGCGGTACAGCTCAGCCCAGCGCATGGCATTCACCTTCACAGCCCCCGATGGGTCTTCCTCACTCCCCGCCACCTGCTGCAGCAGGCGCTCACATGTGTCCTGTGCTGTGAGCACACCGTATTGCAAGCACCGAGGCACGGTGAAGGCAAAGGTGGCATTACGCTCGACGCACAGAGAGCGGCCCGCCTTGATGGGCTCTGAGCAGCCGAGGCCGGGATTGAGAGCCGTGAGGTTGCTGCTGGTGAAGCCCAGCTGGGCGCTGATGGACCAGCATGTGTCGCCCTGGAGGGTTGAACCACGGGAGAAGGCACAGATGGCTGAGGTTAATGGAGCACGGCAGTACAATAAGCACGGTGGAGTTGATAAGACAGCGTTGCCGTGCTGACACAGAACAGCAGTGAGGGGATTAGAAAAAAAAGGGACAACAATGCTAACGGTCAAGAGGAGGGTGTTGAAGAAAGCGTTGGAGGTTAAACAAGAGGAGATAAGTTACAATAGATGAGGTGAATTGAGAGTTGCTGTACTGTGCACAATGCTGATGTAGGCTGGGTTGGCAAGACAGCCATATTTTGATGGGATTCAGTAGAAAGAAGAAAACTAACAAGGACGACAGCTCACACTGAGGGTGTAGAAGAATGCGGTGCAGGGAACGAGGAGAAAACTCCCCAGCTGAAGCACGAGGTTACGAGGCAAAGGATGACTGCAGTCAATGGCCTGCAATAAGGAGCACACACAGATTTGCGTTGAGCATTTGATAATTTGAAGTCTAGCCAAGTTAGGATCCTACGGAGTCACTATTTCCATTCGATTCAGCCAAAAGGTTCAATAATATTCCCTGCAACGATGATTCATGTTTCCTCTGATCTACCACATGCTCTGCCCTGCCTCTCATCTCTCCCAGCCTCTCCCTCTCCACTGCTTACCGCATTCAGCTGCGCAAATTGGGCAAGTGAGAGGCCCACAAGAGGAAGGACATCGGAGCACCACCAGTTGCTCCCACTCACTGCCATGGTGTTGGCTGTGACGTTGGCTGGAAAGGTGAGAACGTGGAACAAGGGAATGGAAGGGATTCAACAAAAGCGAGTTTGCTAATTGTTTGTGCACAGTGGCAGAGAGTGGAAGCAGCTCACAGGGGCCATGGGAAGGCCAAATGATGATACAAGAGTAACCAAAGCCATGGCAGCACACCTGGATCGGAGGTGGGGAAGTTGTCAATGGTTGTGCTTTCAACGTAGTTGGGAGGGCAGATGCAGGAGTAGGAGCCCTTGCCGTCATTGATGCATGTGCCCACGTAGCAGGGGTTCTTCAAGTCAGCCCCACACACGTCCACTGGCAAGCAACACAAGCGTGAAGAAAAATGGTGAAACCAGAGCGAGACACGTGCGTTTAGGGTTTAGGAAAGAGCGGACGGAGGGAGGGGGAGAACAGCGAATACGCCAATTGTTCTGACAATGGCCGTTGTTTTCACAACGGCCAATCTTCTAACAACAGCCATGGATCGACATTCAAACAACTTACAGTAAGCACATGTTTGGTAGCCGTATCCGTTTGCAACTTCAACAAATGGCTGACTGGCTTCATTCGGAATGGTGCAGTTGCACGAGTTGCTGTTGCTGCGCAGGTTAGCCCTGCATGAGAAGCGCCCACACGGGTTCATGCTGGGCTGCAGTGCGCCATCACCCTTCAAGCTCCTCTGGCCGCAAGGGTCCTTGGGGACTGGAGGGTGTTACATGCGAGAACAGGACGAGTAGAAACATGTGCACTAGAAGTTACGCTGAGAACGACTCTGGGAAGGCAATAATAGTCGGTAATTGACCAACCTACAGACGTGGACAACACTGCCTCACACTCTCTTCTCTCTGTTGACGATCCCTTCACTCCATCCACCCTACTCGACAAACCAAACATGGAGCGATCCTCTGGACTCATTAAGTTTGGCTTGACGCTTGTCCCGGCCTCACTGTCAAACATAGTTGACACTGTGAGTGCTCAAAGGGGGGGATGGAGATGTGGAGAACAATGGAGGAAGTTGCCTCACTCTTCACAATGGGGTAGATGCCAGGCAGCACGTTGATGCCACACACACCATCCCCTCCCTGGATGTCCATGCGCATGTGGCCTCGGTCACCCCACTCCACTCCCCACGAATTCCGGACTATCCAAAATGGAGGCGCAATGCGATTTTGGCTGCCATCATTTCTCAAGACAAAGTACCCAACTACGAGTACAACATGGTTCAGTCTGCCGGTATAGCATCCAGGATCCTGGTACTTGAAGGTCTGAACAGACATAGGGACACCACGACGGGAAGAAGAATGGGTGTTCTTGAGGCATGAAGCCAATGCAGGCAAAACGTCAATACGACTTCTTACATCGAATGTACAGCATGTAGGATCAATGCAAGCAACACCCACCCCGTCATATTGTGCAAACGCTAGAGCAGAAGCCTCGATATGAACCACCACTGGCTGTCGTTGCACTGCCAGCATTAGCCCCACAAACCCCTTGAACCGCGTGCGCTCAAAGCCGTGCACAGGGTACTCCTTTTTCTGAAGAGTGGTAAACGGAAATTTCAAAAACATTCAGTAAAGAAGAGACATAAGACACAAAGAGGCCGTGATGAACACTTAAGCTTGACTGCTAAAATTGCATGCAAAATTTGAGACTGGCCTAGTTCATCGGTATTTCAAAATGCAATTTCAGCCATTGACAGTGGCTGCAACGACCGACTATTGAGCTCAGAAAAGAGTTCCACTTCATATCACCAGTTGTAGTATACGTGCAACTCTCTTAATATCAGCCCCCCATATGAAGTTTTGAGTTTTCAGATATCACCAGCTATCCCTTCTTGCCTTCCATTTAGCCGCAATACTCACAGGCGATCCAACTTCTGTGACTCCTCCACGAGGCAGCATGAGAAGCCTTTCAAATGCCTCTGTGGGGGAGCCCCCCGTGATGCACTTGTCAGCTTCGGAGGTGAGCCCCATGGCTGCAAAGAGTGACTCCACTGACAGCTGTGGCGCCTCTGCATTCAATGCAATGCCGTATGCCGCTTCCACGCTCGCCACCAGCGCAAAAGCCCAACAAGCACCTGGGTATGACGAAATAGTTTCGTGAATAATTAAAGGTGATGTGATGATGAAAACACGATGGAAACACATATTGAGCGAGTATTGTGCGATATATTAAAGATGAAAGTGACTGGCAACGGAAAACATGCGGACTGTAGCAGCCAAACAAGATACACCAGCCAAGCGATTGGCTCCAGCATGCCTCTCCAGGTTCCCCAGTGGTTTCATTCACTGCACTCTTTCTGGTCCTTTACACGCCAGCCAAGGAAGGGCACGGCATCCCAGGAGTGGAAGTCGCTGATGACCCACGAGTCCTGCTTGCTGGGCGCCACTCGGTAGTCCGCACTCACGTAGCGCGGGAAGGGGCTGGCCCATGCTGGCATGTATGAGTTCGTTGATAGCTGCAGGCCATAGGCTGTGACGTGCTCAGAAGTTGATTTTTGGAGAAACGAATGGGATGTGAAAGAGACAAGTTGTCACAAGGGAGAACTTGAAGGGGGATGATCAGTACAATGGGCTGCAGTGCATTGCCCTTAGATTGCTGGGGTGCACCTCATATCTGATTACATCTGCACCTCATGGGGCCATTTCACATGTATTGCACATTCACCAAACAAGCACTCCGTTCAGTGCTGAAGCAACTATAACTACCTCGCTCATGTGCGGTACAGGCCGCTCGTAAAAAAATAGTTTACCTAGATCGGTACACCATGATCATAGTTGCTCAGCATTTCCCTTTTCCACTTTGGGATCAGTTTGCTCGGGATTAGTTTGCTCGAGATCAGTTTGCTCGGGATCAGTTTGCTCGGGATCAGTTTGCTCGGGATTAGTTTGCTTGGGATCAGTTTGCTCGGGATCAGTTTGCTCGGGATTAGTTTGCTCTGGATCAGTTTGCTCGGGATCAGTTTGCTTGGGATTAGTTTGCTTGGGATGGGTTTGTTTGGGTTTAGTTTGCTTGTGTTCGCTTGGGATCAGCTTGGGATCAGTGTGTTTGGGATCAGTTTTCTAAGGATCAGTATGCTTAGGTTCACTTTGCACTGTGATGTGCACCATGTGCCACATTGTCTAGGTTATTCTTAATTCTTACACCTAACTTGCTGGGTGTATGTATGTATTATAAAGAAACTAAAAAAAAACAAAAAACTAAAAAAAAATGGTAAGAGGGAGAGTGAAGCATACAGGTGGGAAGATAAGCACACATGAGGTCAAACATTTGTACAGATTATACATATGATCATAACAGTCAGTCAGTCACACCGCTTGCCTCTTTTGTCCTTCTAACAAAGGTGGTTGCAAGAGTTGCAACAGAAGCATGGGAGACGATGTCTCACCTGGATTACGTGAGACTGTTCGGGGAGAAGCAGGAAGGCCTGGGAGAAAAAAAACAATCAGAGCGAAGAACGAAGACGGCGTGTAAGCTTCAGAAAGTGTGTGATTCATATCTACAGTCACTTTCAGATTGCATGTATAAGACCGTCCATGAGTACCCTCATGAGCACCAGCACTACCCCCATCATCACGATGCTTTACATCAGCATCCCACAGTCGCGTTGCCTCCTCTTTAACATCTTCTAGACCGGACATTAGGTGTTGTTAACCACCATGCCAAGTTCATCCTTCTAACAGCACACTCTGCTTACCTGTGTCCACTGTCGATTCAAGAATGACGTGGCGCTGAAACGGCTTCACAGTGGTGGACGACACGAAGCCAAAGAAGAAGGCGGGCTGCTCGGCTGCACCCTGCAGCACCTCACACAGCGCCAGCCTCCTCTCCAGCAGTGCCTCCTGCGGCTTCTCCTGCGAGTCAGCCAGGAAGTCCTGGATGGTGCCGGGGTCCCCCGGCTCATAGTCCACCCACGCCGTGTACGCCTTCCTGTTGCTCAGAGGGAAGGGCGACCTCACAGCAGCTAGCGACTTGTCCTCGCCTCGAATGTTCAGCCCTACGTGCTGGCTGCTCATGTCGCCATGCTCCTTGTTCTGCAGCGTGTCAAACTCAACTGCAATTCTCCGCGTTTCCATTCCACCATACCCCACACCTGCACCACTCCCCACCCGGTCTGTCACAGAGACGACAAAGGCAAAGCCGTTGAAGCCCACGCGGCCGGTTCCAGGAGAGAAGGAAAAGGTGAAGTTGGCGTGGAAGGCGAGCTCCAGCCCACACCCCAACCGTGTCTGCCCTGCCTCGTACACAAACAGCGTCATCGGCGCTGCCGTGAAGTTCCCCCCTGTCTCCCGCTGCGTCCCCTTGGTGAGCACAGATGCTGGCTGGAGAACCGGCTGGCTGCTTGAGTAATTCTTGTTCTGGCCTGCACAAACATATCAGAGGGACGGACAGGAATGAGATAAGTGCAAGATTCTGAGCGAGAATTGATTGAATAGATAAAGGAGCTCAAGGTTCTGAAGTACATGGGTTGGAACAGATGGGCAGGGAATCTGGGGCAATCCCCAATAAGATCAGCTGAAATCTTCAATTGGTGGGGTTGTAAATTTTGGTTGATCACATCACATTTGGGCTGGGTTGGGATATTGGTGTAACACCCCAACCACGAAAACTACAACTACAGTGTACTTAAACATACAATCTGCAAGTGAAAACATGGAATGGAAGTCTCTCTCTAATAATACGACGGTTGAACAAATTTCCGATCTACAAGCCACAGGAGTTCATGCGAGTTGGACATCCCACCATTTTGTGAATCCGTCTGTGGTCAAGCTTCATCGATTTCAAGTGATGTCCCCTACCTTGAGCAACACAGCTGATCTCTCCAAATTGCACAAATCCCGCGTCGCACAGACATCTGGGCGCCAAGCTAGCTCCCTCTGGATAGCACACCCCATGCCCTCCACACGCAGCAGCAGCAGCAGCAGCAGAGGAGACGCCACAGAATGAATTGCATGCTGCCTCCTGCCGCTGCGGTACCAAGGCACAGCCAAGCGGCAGCGTGAAGCAGTTGGCATCAAAAGAGAGAGGCTGGCATGCCCCGTCGGGCAGAGGGCCCGAGAGGTAGTTGCTGGAGAGATCCAGGGTGCGTGCAGCAAGAGGCGTCACTGCAGGTCCTGTGAGGTAGTTGTGGGAGAGGTCGCTGCAGTGGGGAGGGGCAGGTGCCGGGAGAAAAACACATGGGGATCACCTCAGAAGGAAAAGTGGTTTTCAGGGAGTGAAGGTATGAGGGGTTGTTGAGTAGCATGTGTATGGATGAGGGAGGAGAAGATGACGGACACGAAAAGGCTTAAAAAGGAAACAAGGAGTATGGGAAGCGGAGCAGAGGGGGAACAGGGGGTAAATGAGGAGGAGGCAGGCGAAATCCATGTAATCGAATTGACGCATTGGCATGAAGAGGAAGAAGAGGCATAACAGGAAATGGTGGGCTGAGATGGGGGAAGTAATGTGAAGAGAGGCGAGATGAGGAAGCACCCCAAAGGATGTCGAGGTGGAGAATATTTTAAGGCCGCAAGCATGGCAACCATGAGCAATCACGTGGTGATGCTGAAGTCAGTTTCCACAAAAAAACTACAGTGCATGCTTGGTTAGCACGTCCCACAATCAGTCACCTGGATTCCAAGTGGCGCACATTCATTCGTTTAGATTTGGGTAGTGTTCAGTGTTCATTACCCTCACTTGAAGACTTCCACCTCTCTGCTATTTTTTTTTTTTCTGTTTTCGTGCTCTTTGTGACTAGAGAGCATGCATGGCACAGCTGGTGCTGCTGTTGACTCGCTCACAGCACAAATTTGAGAGAACAGCGAGCATGGGTGTGTGACTTGTTGAGTGCGTGCGAGAGGGAGAATGCCAGAGCATGCGGAAAGGAGTGAGGAAGTGTGTCGGTCGTACAAGTATGTGAGCTGTGTGAGCTTGGTGAGAGTGCTCGGTATGCTCCCATACAGCTCGTTGAAGGCAAGAGACCTGATGGCCATGGAGATGTTAGAGGAGGGCGACTCATTGTGAGAGGAGATTGAAGGGCTGTGCAGACATGCATCGTGGCTAGAGTCGTGGTGGTGATATATAGAAGAATAGTGCAATACTCACATGCTAAATTGACATGCTAGATTCAGTTGCAATATTTACTTACTACATTCACGTGCTGGATTCACTTGCTTTATTCACATACTAGATTCAGTTGCTAGACTCACTCGCTATATGTACTTACTTCTAGATTCACGTGCTTGACTCACTTACTAAATTCCCTTACTAGATTCACTTGCTAGATTTACTCGCTAAATTCAGTATAGTCACATTCAGGCAGGGCGAGTGTACTAGAAGCAATATAACGTTCCCTATAGCCCTACAAGAGATATAGTTAGGCTTGGGCGCAGATCTGGTGGGTATCCAACTTCGCCTTGCTAAACTCCAACCTAGACCGAAATGCGCTTAGTTCATTTTTTTTAACCGTCTCCTACCCTACTCCAACCTTATACTTAACGCTTCCAGCGACAATGTGGAAATTTAACCGTGGGAATGTGGTTGTTTAAGTGGGTAGGGGGCGGAGTGTCATCCTTAGGCTATATCGACGATTGAGCTCATTCTTGAGCTCAATCGTCGCCCTCCCCTTTTAGATCCAACCAGCGCGTCAAACTTTGACGCGCTGAATTTCCCCTCGAACACCTAGGTGTTCGCGACAAACACATTGTGTTCGCGAATACCTAGGTGTTCGTGCATTTTTCTGCACGAACACTCGAACAGTCGAACATGTTCGTGACGAACACCAATGTGTTCGTCACGAACAATTTTGGGCAAAAAAAACAGTCAAACACTTTCGAGTCGAACCGAAAAGGAGTTGGGATTTTTGCTCATGTCTATATCTATCCAGCGGGTTCCATGTTTGAGGCAAACCATTTTTGGTTCGCTCTAAACCTAGCAACCCCAACCATCTAAATGCAATGTAAGGCAAGCTGCACTATATCTGGTAATTTTGCACGCAAGATCTCCACCATTGGGGCAGCATATTTTCCCTCCCCTCCCACCACACTTCTCCAAAGTGGGTTCAAAAGCTTAGTCAAGATCGTTATAACTTGAAACTTTTGGAAAGTGTCCCGGGCCGAACATGAACCGGACGGGTCGGATAGAAAAGGAATGGACGGGGTACTCATTGCCGAACCCGGGCCAAGGGACTGCTCGGCCAGCCCGGGTCGGGCCGAACCAGTCGCCCGATTTTCTTGCCGTCCTGGCTTGGTTCAACCTGGGCCGAACCTCATCCCTACTTACAAGGATACCAGATTTGTCAGCAAGCCAATGTCAGTGGGGATGGAGTTGGTGAGTTGATTGTTAGAGAGGGAACTGTCCAAGACAAGGAGGCAAGAGACACGTGGGGGGTGTGCAAGGAGTTGGACAAATGGGTGAGAAGGTAGGTAAGACGCTGATACTGGTATGAGATTAGACATGAGCAAGAGGAGTCGAACTTGGGCCAACCTGATTCAAACCTCACCAGCCTAAAAGATAACCAAACCAGGTCCAGTTCCAGTCAGTTCGGGTCAAGCTGACTTCTAGCCTTGCCGGCCCATGGGCCGACTATATGGGTTTGGCCACTGGGGGATCACCTTCGTCAAATACTAGTCGCTATAATCACATATTTCCAGGGTGTTTTAAACTTTTCTGATGGAAGAATTGCAGTGGTATTTAAAAGAGGAAAACAATGGTATGGATATTTCTCTTAGATTTTGATATAATTGACATACCAATCAACACTTTTAAGCACATGGAAGGATTCAGCAAACGGCCCGGGCAGGTCGATTCAACCCGTTGCTCAAGTGGAAGTGGAACCAAGTTACAGGAAAGTAAGAGCAGTGAGCTTTGTGATCCAGGAGGGCACAGATCCTGACAACATGTTCGCATCGAGAGAGCTGTTGGTGGTGTAGGGGGTGGATGTAGGGGAAGAATGGTTCCGAGTCCAATTCTGTATTTGCAGGACCAGACCAGACCAAGATAAGAGTGTCAGAACTTGAGCTTAGAATCCATACATTAGTAGTGAGCTCAAGGCTCTTTAAGTACATTGGAAATGGGCAAGGTAAGGGTGGGGGCAATCTCAATTGGTGGGTTGGAGATTGCTTGGAGATCACATTTGGGCTTGGTTGGGATGTGGGTGTACACCCAACCAAACACAAAGTGCGAACTACACTAAACTAAGATATAAATTGTACAAGTACAAATGTGAGATTGAGGGCTAACATTAACAAAGAGGGATGAGCATAACCCGAACGTTTTTGTCTCCAACTCAGACGAACCCTTGCCTTACCCGAACCGAACGCGTTCGGTATGGGTTGAACAGATTTGAGAACAGGTGTTGAAGTCGAACCCTTTACTGTTTGGGTCGAACACCAATGTGTTTGACTCGGATTCAAATGTGTTCGGTTCGAGCAGCCAACACACTCCCCCCACCTTCCACAGCCCCATCACCCCTGTCCACATCCTCCAATCCCCTCCACAGCTTCCTCCAGGTTAGGGATGAGCAAATGGCGAACACGAACATGTTCGTGTTCGCCTGGGCTCGAACATGGCCGTTCGGCGAACCGAACACTTTACACCAGAAAGGGTGTTCGAAGTTCGCCAAGAGAGGCGAACATTTCGAACGTTTCGGCGAACACGAACACGTTCGCCCAGAACATGTTCGCGTTCGCCTTAAAGGAGTGTAATATATTTTTGCTAGACCTTCTCAGATCCAAGTAGAGTAAGATTCAAATGTTTCACATTCCCCCCCCCCCCCCAACCCCCAAGCCAGTCCCGCCCTGCTTCATCCATGCTAGTGCCAGCGTGTGACGGTGAAAGGCTAGATCTGAGCTTAAGCAACGGCGAAATGCTAGATCTGAGCTTAAGCAACGGCGAAATGCTAGATCTGAGCTTAAGCAACGGCGAAATCCTGGATCTGAGCTTAAGCAACGGCGAAATGCTAGATCTGAGCTTAAGCAACGGCGAAATGCTAGATCTGAGCTTAAGCAACGGCGAAATGCTAGATCTACGCTTACGCAACGGCGAAATGCTAGATCTGAGCTTAAGCAACGGCGAAATGCTAGATCTACGCTTAAGCAACGGCGAAATGCTAGATCTGAGCTTAAGCAACGGCGAAATGCTTAATTTGCACTTAAGCAACGGCGAAATGCCTTGATCTGAGCCCAAACACCAAGGCTCGCGACCTAAAAATTGGTCGCGGGCCTATTCGTCGACAAACACATTGGTGTTCGTCGAAGGCCCGTGTCGAACACGAACACATTCGTGTTCGACGCGCCTCGGCCAGCTGAGCCGCGCGAACGGCGAACGTGTTCGGGCGAACACCGAACACGTTCGCCCCGAACAATTTAGGCCAAAACAAAATCCTGTTCGGTTCGCCTCGAACACGTTCGAGGCGAACCGAACAGGAGTTTGTCATATTGCTCATCCCTACTCCGGGTACTCCTCCTCGACCCCTCCCCTTCCAGTGACGTTCCAATTCAATCTCGATTTCGACAATTCAAACGCTCGAACATGTTCATGTTCGACACGGTTTCAGTGCTTTAGGCGAACATGTTTGTCCCGAACGGTATATTGTTTGAAACAAACACGTTTTGTCTTTTACTCGAACAGGTTTGAGTCGAACCAAACAGGGGTTCGCTCATTTGCTCATCCCTAGAAGGGATGGCATGAGCAGTCTACCGAACCAAACCTGTTTGAGTCGAACCAGAAAGGGGATTGCCCAATCAAAGTTCGACTAATAATGGTCAGACTGGGCAGGTTCGAACCGAGCCAGAGATGGTTCGGTTAGGTTCGATCCAAACCAGTCCAGGTTCGGATCGACCAGCCGTAGCCTACCTAACCACACACTAGCCCAAATACTTGCGTAAAATCGTTATCTCAGCCCCCAAAACACGGTTTGCCAAAGAGAGCAGTTGAAACCTTGGTGATTTTAGCTAAAGACCATCCATGAGGATGCTCTTATATTCTGGGGGGGGAGGGGGGAGGAGGGGGGGGGGGGGGGGGGGGGGGGAGGGAATAGTGTAAGATAGTCCAACCGATCGAACCAGTCGAAAGGTTAAGTTTGACTCATCAAACTGAACAGCAGCTTGGTGGTGAGGTTTGAGTTATGCTCATGTGGCAGAGAGGGGAACCTTACAGCGTTGAGAGAGATGGTACTGATCCAATTTCCGCAGGGATGGAACCCGTCAGCTGATTAAACTTAACGGATCTGTCATTGCAGTTTTAACATGGAGAAGCATAAAGGAAGAACCAAAACGTGGGGTTTTAACATGGAGAAGCACAAGGGCATTGACTCGTGTCAAACGGAGGACTAGCATTCGTTACAATCACATCATTCAAGGGTGTTTTAATTTTCTTTAATGGAAAATTGCAGTGGTTTTTAAAAG